CATAAATAAAAAACGATGTTCTAGATTGTTTTCACAGCTATCTTCGATATCCGGTCAATGAACGAACTAAACTCACAAATTCCCACAATTAAATGAACGAATTGCACACTGCGATCCACATCAAAAATAACCAATTTAACTACGAAATTTTATTTGATAATTATAAAATTTCAATAACCGAAACAAAGGATAAATAAATCCAAAAACATCTGATTTGATCTGACAGTGACAAGGGACAAGTGATGACCAAAGATATAGAGAGATGGACAAAAATTCTAATGCTGGGCGGTATCCAGTGACAATATTCTGTGGCTATATAATATCGCGGTGTATAACGGGTTGCATAATCGTAAAATTTAAATAAAATAATATTTAACCATAAAATTATAGTAAACATGATGCCAAAACAATAGTTATTTGCGATAATTTATGAGCTAGCACACAGAGGTCGTTGCGAGGAAATTTGACTGTTACAATTTTGCATATCATATTGTTTTATAATTTGTTTCTTATATTTTAATTCAATTTATTTTATTGCAAATAAATGTGCCTCATGTTTTCTTATGTTATGGTATTTTGGTAGTATCTGTGAGATAAAAAATGCACTTTGTGGCGGGTTAATTTCTGTAAAAATGGCTGATTATTTCATCACTGAAAGAAAAATCTAAAAAATAAAAAAAAAATAGAATATGTCATTTCGTAGAATCCAAACGTATTAACTGAAGTACTACGGGTTTAAAAAACTTGATATAAAAAATACAACAGCTTTATTAGCTTACTTATTAGTCAATTTGTTTATATATTCTTGGATATAAAAACATTCTATTATTGCACTATTTTTAAATGCACATATTGTTAACTTTTAATATTTTAAATTATAATAATCTGAAATAATGTATATTAAAATTTAATGCAACTGTTATGTATCAGTATATCCAAATGCTTTTATTTGCATTTTCCAACAATGCACTTTCATATTAAAGATTAAAACTATATATCCGCTTTATCTTATTAAAAATGGAATCAAATATATACAGTGGTGGCCAAAAGTATGGAAACTTTTTTAATTTGTCATTTATGCTGAGAAATTAAAATATGAAATAAAACGACTTATATAATCGTGACCTACAAATAATTTCCTACAAAACCTAATACATTTAAATAAAAAATTACAGCTTTCAAAAAATATATAAAAAATTATGAATATTTTCTTGGTCAAAAGTATGGAAACTTAAGAAGAATGTTTATTAAAATACAAGATAATATAAAAATTACCAATATTTAGTGGAATATCCCTTTGAATTAATTACTTCTCTACATCTTCGTCGCATCGAATCGATCAATCTCGTACAATATTTACTGGAAATGGCCGCCCATTCAGTTTTTAGTACTTCCCATAATTTATTTTTATTTGAAATAGAATGGCTTCGAATTTAGCTATCCAAATGGTCCCATAAATTTTCTATGGGGTTAAGATCCGGAGACTGTGAGGGCCAATCCATTGGAACATTATGTTCATTTAACCAATTTTGAACAAACCGAGATTTGTGCTTGGGATCATTGTCTTGCTGGAACAACGATCTGAGTGGCATTTCTTCATCAGCATGAAGCAGCATATTATTGTCCAATATGCCTTTGTACAAAAAACGATCCATTATCCCATCAATTTTAACAAGAGGACCAAAACCTGAGCGAGAAAAACACCCCCATACCATTATACTCCCACCCCCATGTTTTACTGTGGGCATCTGGTACTTATATACTTATTATGGCTGTACCGTGTACCTTTTGGTCTTCGGACATAACGTCTCCCGTCACTACCAAACAGTTGAAACTTGCTTTCGTCGCTAAACAGTACAGTATTCCATTTCTGATAAGACCAGGTGAGATGATCTTGAGCAAATTTAAAGCGGGCCATCCTATTTTTCTTTGATATTAGTGGTTTCTTCACCGCAACTCTTCCAAAAAGTCCCATGTCATCCAACCTTCTCACCGTGCGTGCAGACACCGATATTCCCCTTTCACCCATTTCTCGAGAAATGTCTGTGGATGTTTTTCTTGGATCTCCCATTGATATTCTCTTCATTACTTTAATTGTCCTGCACAACTTTCTTGGCCTTCCTGACTTAAAAGCTGTTGAAACGTTCCCTGTTTTATTAAATTTACGAATTATTTTCGAAACGGTGCCTTTTAAAATGTTTAAATTTTTACTTATTTGAATTTGTTTATAACCGCTCTTGTATAATTCAACTATTTTATTTTTTAAATACGTAGAGAAATATTTAGACTTGGGCATGATGTTTATATTTATCTGAAGCAAATCATACCGTTTATTAGCTTAAACTAAATAATTTTAATGTATTTATTTATGGTTTCCATACTTTTGGCCATAAGAAATCTATTGTTCTCCTACAAAAACTGCTAAACAGATTTCTTCGCTGTGTAATTTTTGGAATACTTTTATTTGCTGATAAGCTGTTCATTTATATTCGTGAGAGTTTAAGCATAGCAATATTTTCTGTGATATTTTAAAAAGTAAAAAGTTTCCATACTTTTGGCTGTATATTACAATTAAAATGTTAAAAACATTGAATTATTTTTTTACCTATTGATTTACCTTTTTATTACTAATGTACGTAGTAAGTAGTAATAGTCTAAGAGCTGGCTACATAAAAAAACCTTATCATTGTAACATGGCTAATTTTTTGTGTGAAGTATCCTTTTGTGTAGCCATTATGAAATAGTCATGTCTGCCAGCGCGATCCCGGGGCTTAAAGCGGGAGCGGCCAATCGAAAGGGTGAAATTTTGACACTAAAAATATTATAAGATACATGAGTGATAATTGCGAAAATAGCTTTTATTTATTATTAAGAAACGTGGAAAATTGTTGACAGACATTTTTCTAGTCGCTAAAATGCCGACAGACAACGCGAAAGAGGCATGAAATTTTAAAAATTATTAAAAAATAAAATTTGAAGAATGAAAAAAATTATGGCATATTTGCATGATTGGTGAAATGTCATATTTATTTATTTTAAAAGCCGTATGCAAAAGGACAGACAAAAAGATCGTGGCTCAATCAGCTGCAGACAGTTATCAAAAACGCGATATTACTCTAGCGCTTTATTCAGGGAACTCTGGCCCCCTCATCCATTTAAGTATAGATAAATCATAATAATATAATATACGATTATATTATAAATATATTTTTTTATTATTTCAATAACGATTTTTTTGTCTGCTCTTTTGCATACGGCTTTTTAAATTAATTAACAATAAACATGACATTCCACCAACCGACATGCATGTATGCGATGATTTTCTTTTGTCAAAATTCTTTGCCTCTTTCGCGTTGTCTGCCGGCATTTCAGCCACGAGAAAAATGTCTGTCAACAATTTTACACGTTTCCTAATAATAAATAAAAGCTATTTGGCAATTATAACTCGAGTACCTTATAATATTTTTAGTGTCAAAATTTCACCCTTTCGATTGGCCGCCCCCGGGATCTCGCTGGCAGACATGACTATTTCACAATGGCTACACAAAAGGATACTTCACACAAAAAAATAGCCATGTAACGATGATAAGGTTTTTTATATAGCCAGCTCTCGGTCTATAATACGCTTATTACTAATTGCTATATTTTTCAAGTTTTTCTAACATATAGAAAAACTTGAAAAAATATAAACATATTAAATTATTTCGTACTGACAAAAATTTCAACTAAAGCTCACTAGGGTTACCCTTAATTTATGTACCTGTTTTGATTAACTCAGTCAAATATTTAAACAGGCGTTATACAGGCCTAAGTAGTAGATCCGATTATAATGGAATAGGACCCTTCTCAAAATTAGGAACAGTGTAGTCAAACAAATTACAAATTATTAGATATTTGCTGCTTTCTTCCTAATCTTTCATACTATATACAGGGTGTAAATGAATTAAAGCGAAAAAAATCAGATAATTATTGGTTAAAAAAAATTATGTCAACTATGTGCGCTATGTAGCCTACCCATTAAATTTGGTCGCGAACTTTTGACGTTTCGTACGTCAAAACTAATTGTCACAGTGACAAGTGTCGTACACGGTCACCGTGACAATTTTAGGAAGTTTCACTTCAAAAATCCACTAGGAAAAATTATATTTAATTTTAAAGTATATGAAAATTTTGGGGTGTCTGTTTTTTGTACCGGTCAGAATACAGTATATCTCCGGATTGTCTTGACAAGAAGAACACTTTTTTATTATTGGCATTTTCAGAAAAATGTATTCTACATAAAAGTTCTCGCTTGTTCTAAAATGGGTAATGCCGTTTATACTTTTCCAAAATTTCATATCGTTTTAGAGAAAATTACAAAAACATGAGAACATGGTTGAATTTTTTTGAAGTCCTAAAAATAAAAAAGGCGTTTCTATGGAATAAAATTTGGATTCCATTCTTTGATAGATGGTTAATATTAATTTTGATTAACGTCATATTTTTGCTGTTGTTAAAGTATTACATTTTCCGAGAACCACTATCACCCTTTCCGTAGCATTGAACTAAATAAATTTTGTGCTTTTTTAACATTTTAAAACAGCAAAAAATATGACGTTAATTAAAATTCTATCAACAACAATCTATCAATGAATAAAAACGAAATTATATTACCATAGAAACGCGTTTTGATTTTTAGGAAAAAATTCAACCATATTTTCATGTCTTTTCTAATCTTCTCTAAAACGGCATAGAAATTTGGAAAAATATAAACGGGATTAACCATTTTAGAATAAGCAAATTTTTCTTATGAAAAACGCATTTTTCTCAAAATATCAATAATAAAAAAGTTTTTCCTCTTGTAAAGAAAATCCAGGGACATACTGTATAAACTTGAATATGACAGTGCCGTTTGAAATATATTTTACAAAAACCATTGAAAGATCTTTATATACGGCTGAAAAAAAACGCTGTTTTATTTTAACATATACTTATTAAATGTAATTCCGTTTATTTTTCAGATGAACTGAAAGCGGAACCCGAAACACGATCATAATTACAAACTCAGGCACCACCATCACCAACATAACCAACCTGGTCAACTCAACAACCTTCAGCATCCTCCCCACCATACCAATCCGCTTCACCAATGTCTCTTCAATGGACGACCTGCTGTTCAACTACAGTCAATTGGCCCTCATCGGCACCAACCACGCCGACTTCACGCCCGATAATCTCTCCGAAGTCAATATCAGCCGATCCGTCACCAGGCTGACGTCACCGCTGGCCGTCACCGTAGTGGTGCTGCTCGTGTTCCTCCTCTCGCCCATGATACTGATCGGCAACTCGTTAGTGCTGGTCGCGATGTACCGCTTCAAACGTTTGAGGACGCCTAGCAATTACCTAGTGATGTCGCTGGCCACTAGTGATATGGGAGTGGGCATGTTTATGCCGGTAGGGTTTTATCTGGAACTGAACGGCGCCGATTCCTTTCCCGGGTATCAAGTGTGTTTGTTCAGTTACGGTGTGGTGATCAGTTTGTGTTGCGTGTCGGTGCTGGTGATGGTAGCGATTGCGGTGGATCGGTTCACGTCGCTGGCCAGGCCTTTGAGGTACAATAACTTGATAACGCACTCGGCGGTGGAGAGATACATTGTTATATTTTGGATTTATTCGAGTTTGGTGGGGTTTAGTCCGTTGGCGTATGCGGTTTTAGCAGGATCTAATAAGAGGTAAAAGATTTTTGTATTATTTAGAAGAAATCGTATCTAGGTCTAAGAAATATTGGTTTAGATAAAATGAAGTCTCTCATAATAATGTTTGCATCATTTACCATATTAATTCTTTTATATTTCTAAGAGATATTTTAATTTTGGATTAGCTTTTATGGTAATTTAGAAAGTATACCTTTTTTCTGTGTTGTGCTCTTAAAGCTGTAGTCATTAAAAACTGCAATCTGCTGAGGAATAACCAAAAAGTTGTCTTATTCTATTACAGTTAATATTTTTACTATATAGGGTACGGCAATAATACAGCGTAGTATGTACGAGGATGTATTTCAGGAAAATAATTTTTTTACCCCTATTGGGTGGCTCAAAAAGTGTGAGTGGACTGGGATGATTTTTTTAAATGGAACATACTGTATTTTATTGCATTTGTAGCTTTCTTTCAGATTACTTTATATACTTCTAAGATATGAGTAAATATATTTCGATAGTTTCAGAGATATTAATAAATAAATAAAAAATATATATTTTTCAGTCTTTCTTTCTTAAAAAATTGTTAAAAAATATACAAGAGCTGTCCTGAAATTAAAACTATATTAGGTATTTACTTTAGACGGTCTGTACTTACTTTGCTATAGAGGTGTGTAGTTCGTGAACGAACTAGTTCTAATGAACTATTCTGACCCTGGAATGAAAGGAACTAGTTCCTGGTTTCTCAAAGAACTAGTTCCTCAGGACCTATTCCGGGATCGAGACTGTGACCGATATAGAATAATATGCGACGGCGACGGATCGGCTAGTGCGCGTAGCCCAATGGTAGGCAGGAGTGGGGAGTGCCAGCCGTACGTTATCGGATCCGGACCTAGAGGAACTAAACTAAATAGACTAGTTTACGCACGAAGGGATCGGGCCAGCGCGATCGATGCTAGGCAGGAGTGAGGAGTGCCAGCCGTATGCCGTATGTTATCAGATCCGGACCTAAAGGAACTAGAGGAACTAAATAAAAGACTAGTTTACGTATGGATCAGCCAGCGCGATTGATGCTAGGCAGGCGTGGGGAGTGCCAGCCGTATGTTATCGGATCCGGACATAGAGGAACTATTAAAAGACTAGTTCACGGGAATCTATTCAGTCGGCAGATCAGAGATATAACAGAAGGCGACCGCCGAGCCGGTGCGGCGTAATTACTACAGAAAATTGTCGTGGATACTGTTTTTGATTTTTAGTTTGTTTTTTAAATATTTTATGGGAATGTTTCAACTTAGGTCCCTAAAATTAAGAAATATTTTATAAAACGAAGTAGATATTCTGAATTTTTAGACAAAAATAAAAAGTTTGAAGTGAAAAAAAATGCAATTTTTCGTAAAATTTTTAGTAATATTTGCCCCAATTGATTTATGTTATAGTTTTTTAAATTCTGATTTGAGTTGTTTTTATTTTTTTTATCTGCAATAAAACTTATCCATATATTTTTAACATACACAATTACACGTCTCGTTATATCTCCGTACATTATAAAAATTATACAGATCATACTGTGAATAGTTCTGACTGACAACGAAACGCATTAGCAAGCAAGGGGGATGTCAATGTTAGCCGGGAACTATTCTGAACTAAAGACCTAGTTCAAGGAACTATTCCTCTGGAGGAACTAGAACTTAGGAACTAGTTCCTCCCAAGGAACTAGAATTCCCACCTCTACTTTGCTATAAATATGGTAATCGTAATCTTATAGGATGTTTAAAACTCTACTCTCTAAGTGATATGATATTATTTCTACGGGTAACTTAAAAACTTCACTACATATATTGAGTTTGTAATAAAATAATTTTTTTAAGTATATCTTTGTAAAGAGAACTACTGCTAGTTGGTTTTGAATGCAAAATGTGAGTTTTAAAAAACTATATTTTGAAACTAAGTGTGAAAATTATTCAATAAAAATAATATTAAATTAAAATAATTTAAATGTCAGTTTCTGCAACGGATTTTTGCCATCAAATGTAATAAAACTTTTGAAGCATAGTACTAAATGAACATGGTTAATCGATGTTTATATTCAGGTAGAAACGTATTATTTTAAAACAAAGTTGATGGAAAGTTCCGATATTGCTTTATCACACGCAATTTATCCTGTAGCAACAAAATAATCCTGTTAAGTAATAAGGTTCTCAGTTACATTTAATAATTCATAGAATTTTTACCGATATTATATACCATTCAAATATATCACAAAAGTAGACTGAGTGTCGTTCCTTTATAATTTCTTTTAACAGTCTGGATTTCAAATAAATTCTTTCAATATTAATTATAAACTAAGATTTCTTAATTATAAACTAAGTTATGGTTTATTTTTAAAACTACTGTGTCTGAGAATTGAAAATACTTTTTTCCATTGCCATAAAAATGTTTTATATTAAAAGTGCAGTAGTAGCTGCTATGCAAACAGAATTACTTTAAAATTTATTTTAATAAGATGATCAATTTATTTTAACACAAATATCAATTTATCAAAAGATTTTAAATGGCATGTATCAGGAAATCAGTGCCAAAGTCGTACTATTAGGTTTTTTGTATAGTACCTGTTATATGAAATATATCTACATATTCATACTTAAGCATAATTTTGAGTGCTTTAAAAAAGTCAGTCTTTGACGTCTCATTGAATATCATAAACTCATCTACCGATCCATTATTTTTATCTATTTGTACGACTACTATTGCTAGTTCAGTTTGCAGGTCATCTGGTATCTTAAATCAGCATAGAAATTTCTGTCTACAAGCCAAATGCTACAGGTACTATTTCAAACCGTACTGGTACATATTTAACAAACAAACAGAGGTACTCTTTAAGCAACATCAATGAAAATCAAAAAATAAATTATTTAGCAGGCTTTTTAGAAGTAAGGTGATCCTCGTTTAACCATGTAAAATATAAGGAAATATTCTCTAGTTTCGTTTTCATGCTCAAGTTATGATTGTAGAAAACCCTGTCTTTTAATTTCCAGAATGCTCGTGAGGCGCTGCTTATTTCAGAGTGTGCTGAATTCCTGTGCTGAATTTCAAAGTTTTGGCCTTTTCCGAAATCAATCTGCTGAGGTAATTGAATTCCGCCACTTATTCCAATAGTTCTTTGATTTTTATTACATTGTTGTGATCTTCCGGGGGAGTGCACATGATTTTAGTTTTATCGATGTTCACCGTAAGGCCCAACGCCTCGTATGCCCAGGTACATGTGTTCAATATTTTTTGTAATAATTGCTGTATCGTTTTTGCAACTAGAGCGCAGTTATCAGCGTTTTGAAGTTCTGTGATGAATTTTGTACGTGTTTTTTCCCTGAGTTTTTTATGTTGAACAGAACGCCATCATATCTGTCTCTAATGCCGATTCCTCTTTCCTGCAGTTTGCTGTTCATTATAACGAAGAGCGCCCCAAGTAGCATCTATCTGACTTCGAACTAAATCTGACCTGAAGCGACGTCAGACTTTGTGCAGATTTAGGTCGGGTGCTGGTGATACGACCGGTGACGTCGCTTTCCTATTAAGAGCGACGTCGTTGGATCCGAGTCGGTAAATCCAACGATCTGTCGACGTACAAAATAACAACGTACCATTTTTATTAATTTCCCAACGTCGTTCCCACGTTAGCTTGCACGACGTACATATACTTGAACTAGCCCGACGTCTACCCGTTGTACGAATAGGATACGTCTCACTGATAATCCCTAAAGTAACGTCCAATTATATTTTGTTGTATTTTATGTTCACATTTATAACCTAATTTACATATCTCTATTTACGTCCGTAAATACAACCCATTAAGTAGCATTTGCGACCTAATGAACATCATGAACATAACCTAATAAAGAGTTTTTGTAAACAAACTTAATTTTTGTATTATGCCTAAAAAACACTAAAAAGGCATTTAGACATTCATCTACATTTTACAGAAAGAGGTCGAGGCTTTTGCAAAATAATAATAGTAGTAGTGATGTCTTGCCGCCACCCATAAATGTTTTTTATCCGGAAGAGATGCTGCATTACACTGGTGCATTTTAATTTCATTTTTTAGCTTAGGAAACCAGCAGACCCCATCCTCCTCCCACATGTGAGGTTAGGCTTAAAAAAGTGGCTGCCCATTTTTTTTAAGGAGAAAACAGAAACTAAAATATAGTTGCACAAATCCACAAATCACTGATACGCAAAGTGAGGTTACGTGGCGTACGAATTATATACGTCATAATACGATTGACGGTCTCCGGTTTGATGACTTCGGTCGTGTGAGACGACTAATGTTGGAGACCCGGTCGGAATTGGTATATTGGTAGTTCATATTAAGTCGGACACAGAAATCCGCCATTATTAACAAGTATCCGATTGTCAGCCATTTTAAAATCGTTTTTTGTTTTTAAAATTTATATTCACATTTCGATTTCTAGCAGAATAATATTGATAAGGTTGAGTTTGGGGGGAACCACAGTACAGTTTTATGATTAAACCAGCTAGAAAATTAAAAAAATATTTTGCGAGTTACTTTTTATAGAAATTTTTATTTCATAAATCTACCTAATTTTGAAGGCGCTTGTTGTTTTCCGGAGTATTTTAATCAGATATATAAAAAAAGTGACTTCCGTTGACAAAACTGATGTCTGGATTAATGATACAGAATTATTATAATATGAGATTAGATAGGCACTTATAGTTATATTCGAGGAGTGATTATGAATCCATTTATAATTAGGTAGTTTGGTTAGGTTTTTATGTATTCTTGGTAGCAAATATGAAACCAAACGTAACGTAAGTGCTTAGAGACGAATTTTAAGTGACTAAAATCCAACGTAATATGACGTTAGTAATTGGTAGAATTACATTCCCTATTAGGTCAGATACCGACGTCGAGGCGACCCGAATCTGTATTCCCCATTTAGGTGCAAAAAAGGGTCGTCAGGCGGTCGAACCGACGTTGGTAACCGACGTCGGGTTTATTGAACGCGACATATACCCGACGT